ATAGACTCAGCAGTACCCATAGACTTACCACTCCCATAGACTCACCACTACCCATAGACTCACCACTCCCATAGACTCACCACTCCCACAGACTCATCAGTACCCATAGACTCACCACTCCCATAGACTCACCACTCCCATAGACTCACCAGTACCCATAGACTCACCACTACCATAGACTCACCACTCCCATAGACTCACCACTCCCATAGACTCACCACTCCCATAGACTCACCACTCCCACAGACTCACCACTACCCATAGACTCACCACTACCCATAGACTCACCACTCCCATACACTCACCACTCCCAGACTCACCACTCCCACAGACTCACCACTACCCATAGACTCACCAGTACCATTCTAGTACCATAGACTCACCACTCCCATAGACTCACCACTCCCACAGACTCAGCAGTACCCACAGACTCAGCAGTACCCACAGACTCACCACTACCCATAGACTCACCACTCCCATAGACTCACCACTCCCATAGACTCACCACTCCCATAGACTCACCAGTACCCATAGACTCACCACTACCATAGACTCACCACTCCCATAGACTCACCACTCTCATAGACTCACCACTCCCATAGACTCACCACTCCCACAGACTCACCACTACCCATAGACTCACCACTCCCATACACTCACCACTCCCAGACTCACCACTCCCATAGACTCACCACTCCCACAGACTCACCACTACCCATAGACTCACCAGTACCATTCTAGTACCATAGACTCACCACTCCCATAGACTCACCACTCCCACAGACTCAGCAGTACCCACAGACTCAGCAGTACCCACAGACTCACCACTACCCATAGACTCACCACTCCCATAGACTCACCACTCCCATAGACTTACCAGTACCATAGACTCACCACTACCACAGACTCACCACTCCCATAGACTCACCACTCCCATAGACTCACCAGTACCCATAGACTCACCAGTACCCACAGACTCAGCAGTACCCATAGACTCACCACTCCCATAGACTCACCAGTACCATTCTAGTACCATAGACTTACCACTCCCATAGACTCACCACTCCCACAGACTCACCACTACCCATAGACTCACCAGTACCATTCTAGTACCACAGACTCACCAGTAACCACAGACTCAGCAGTACCCACAGACTCACCACTACCCATAGACTCACCACTACCCATAGACTCACCAGTACCATTCTAGTACCATAGACTCACCACTCCCACAGACTCACCACTCCCATAGACTCACCACTCCCATAGACTCACCACTCCCATAGACTCACCAGTACCCATAGACTCACCAGTACCATTCTAGTACCATAGACTCAGCAGTACCCACAGACTCAGCAGTACCCACAGACTCACCACTACCCATAGACTCACCACTACCCATAGACTCACCAGTACCATTCTAGTACCATAGACTCACCACTCCCACAGACTCACCACTCCCATAGACTCACCACTCCCATAGACTCACCACTCCCATAGACTCACCACTACCCATAGACTCACCAGTACATTCTAGTACCATAGACTCAGCAGTACCCACAGACTCAGCAGTACCCACAGACTCACCACTACCCATAGACTCACCACTACCCATAGACTCACCAGTACCATTCTAGTACCATAGACTCACCACTCCCACAGACTCACCACTCCCATAGACTCACCACTCCCATAGACTCACCACTCCCATAGACTCACCAGTACCATTCTAGTACCATAGACTCAGCAGTACCCACAGACTCAGCAGTACCCACAGACTCACCACTACCCATAGACTCACCACTACCCATAGACTCACCACTACCCATAGACTCACCAGTACCATTCTAGTACCATAGACTCAGCAGTACCCATAGACTCACCACTCCCACAGACTCACCACTCCCACAGACTCACCACTACCCACAGACTCAGCAGTACCCACAGACTCAGCAGTACCCATGCGAGTAGGCGTGGACTCACCTGCACCAGTTGTATGAGGTACTGGGAGAGTTTGTCGTCCGTGAGACCAGCCTCCAGGCATTTGACGGCGAAGTCACGGACCCGGGGATCGGGATAGTTGCAGTCGAGGAGCTCAAGGGCCAACTCAGGCCTCACTAGAGGCCAGTCCTTGAGCAGGCTGTACATCTGTGTGTGAGTGTGGGTGGGTCGGTGGGTGGGTGGGTGTGTGGGTGGGTGGGTGTGTGGGTGGGTGTGTGGGTGGGTGGATCGGTGGGTGGGTGAGTGGGTGGGTGAGAGAGTGGGTGAGAGAGTGGGTGTGGGTGAGTGTGGGTGAGTGGGTGTGTGAGTGGGTGGGTGGGTGAGAGGGTGGGTGGGTGTGTGAGTGGGTGGGTGTGTGAGTGTGGGTGGGTCGGTGGGTGGGTGGGAGAGAGAGTGGGTGGGTGGGTGTGTGAGTGGGTGTGGGTGAGTGTGGGTGTGTGGGTGGGTGGGTGGGTGTGGGTGGGTGAGTGTGGGTGAGGGTGGGTGTGTGAGTGGGTGT